CGCAAAGAAATAAAAATATATTAGATAGTATCTTATTTTTTGATCTAAAGTGATAAATATCCAGTCTTTCACCACTAAGTATAGAAGTTGTTATAGGCACCCTTTATCAAAATTTCCTTATCAAGTCAAGGATTTTACTCTGTTTCATGGTTGCTGAGCGTTTTTTTATCATGAAGAGGTGATAGATTTTGTCAAATGCTTTTTCTATTGAGGTGATACTGTATTTTTGTTTTTCTATTGTATTGATATATATTCACATGAACTGTTTCAGATGTTAAACCTATCTTGCAACACTAAGATAAATTCCAGTTGTCACAGCGTGTTTTTAAATATGTTGTTGATTTCTGTTTACTAGTATTTTTGTTAAGGATGTTTCATCTACATTCCCAAAAGATATTGATCAGTAGCTTTCATTGCTACAATATCTTTGTCTGATTTGGGTCAGAGTAATATGGGTTTCCAGGGGCTTGTATGAGGGAAAAATGGAGTGTTATAGTTCACAGGTTATAAAGTTACAGGTATAGATCTGTTCCAGTAGCTCATGCATGTAATCGTGGAACTTTGGGAGGTTGAGATGGGAGCATCGCTTGAGGCTAACATTTAAGACTAGCTGGGGCAACACAGTGAGACCTTCTCTCTATGAAAAAAAAAAAAGCTAGGTAGGGTTGTGTATCCCAGCTCCCCTGGAGGCTATGGCAGAGGATGGCCTGTTCATAAGCGTTTGAAGCTGCATTGAGTTATGATAGTGCCACTGTGCTCCAGCCTGGGCAGCAGATTCAGACTCTGTCTCTAAATAAATAAAGTAATTAATTAATTAAAACAAACTTAAAAATTCTCCCTTCTATTTCATATCCTACAGGTTGCCCTAATTTTAAAAAATAAAACTAAACTAAACCAAAAATTTATAGTTCCATTCTAGTTATTTTGTGGACAAGACCGTGGCTATACTTAACAATATGGTGGTGTGCAGTTAAAATTTTGTTAAAAAGACAGCTCTCACATTAAATGTTTTGATCCAAAATAAATAAATAAATAAATAAATAAAACCAGAATCTAAACAAACAAGAAAACTCAGATCACAAGGCAACTTTTGGAAGTCATGTGTATGTTTATAAACTTGATTGCTGTGATAACATCTCAGGCATATGCATATGCCCAAACCTATCAAATTGTATACATTAAACATTTTCAGTTTTTTTAAAACACATACATGAAAATATTACACAATAGAGAAATAGTGAAGTGAACACAACAGGATATAATTTTAGAAATTATTTGTGAAATATATTGTTGAGTAAAATAAAGCCATTTTTTGGTTAATATATTTCTGCTTTTTCTCTTATTTTTCTGTTACCCATGGTATGCATATATTGGTGTTTCCCAGTTTTTTAGGACTTACCACATTATTTATGTTTCTCTTCTTCAGATTTCTCAGTCTATATTGATCTAAAGTCAACACACCAATTCCTTTTCTGCCAGCCCACATCTACTACTCGTTTGAACCCCTGTAGTGAAATTTCTTCCTTTCCGTTATTGAACTTTTCAGTTACTGAATCCTATTTTTCTTTCTTTCTTTATTCATTCATACTTTACGAATAAGTTTTCAACTTTAAGGCTGTCTCTGTTTGAGACATTGCCATCCTACTGTTCTTTACCTCTTTGAACATGGTTTCTTCACGTCTTCAATTATATTATTTCTAAAAGATGCTTCTAATTTTTTGTCTGCTAGGTACAACATCTTAGGTCCCTCAAGGGAAAATATCTATTGCCCCCTTTCCCCTGCATATGAGACAGTCTTTTATTTCTCAATTGTTTTTTATTGAAGCCTGGGCATTTAAACAATATTTTATAACAAATCTGTGTACTGATTTCCATATTCCCTACCTATACTCCTAGGGCTTCGTAGCATTTTTTTTATATATATGCATTTCAAACTATTTATTTCTTCAGTGCATGATCGGAATAATTTAGTGAAGTACGTTACTCCATTATTCCTATAGTCTTTGATGTTTATGATGATATCCTGGGTTTATTTAGTGCTAAATATCACTTGTAGGTTTAGACTCTCAAGTATGTTCTCACGCAGCTTGGATATGGAGAGTTTTATTATTTTACTTCTAATATTTATGAAAACCAATGGGACTAGAATTATTATTCTCATATTTAAAATAAGTAAAATAGGCTCAGTGCCTGTAGCTCAGCGGCTAGGGTGCCAGCCACATAACACTGGAGGTGGAAAGTTCGAATCCAGCCTGGGGCCTGCCAAACAACAATGACAACTACAAGTAAAAAATGGCTGGGCATTGTGGCAGATGCCTGTAGTCTCAGCTACTTGGGAGGCTGAGGGAAGAGAATCACTTAAGCCCAAGAGTTGTAGGTTGCTGTGATGCCAGGGCACTCTACCCAGGTCGACATAGTGAGACTCTGTCTCAAAATAAATAAATAAATAAAACAAAACTAAAGCAAACCAAACTAAACTAAGTAAAATATGCATTGGAAAGTGGAAATGTTGATGCCAGCTTATTCAGTGGTAGATGGGCTGAAATTAGCACTGAAATTCAAAACTTTATCCCTTGATTCAAGCTACAAAATTAATGGATTCTTTAAGAAGAAAATGACTATTCAAATCTCCTCCTTACTTCAGAATCCTTCAGCGCCTTTCGCTTGCCTCTGAAGTATCAAATCACGTAACGCGTAATTTAGGGCAATGGTTTCCATCTGGTCTCAACTTCAATCCCCAGCCTTCTCTTTCCTTCTGCCAGAAATTTTTATCTTATACCAGGGTTTCCCACATTGATATTCATCTATTAACAATTTGTGCATCGTCCTCATGATGTCCTGGTGAATCCACAGGCTTTAACATTTCTACAGGTGATTCTAACATGCATTTGGTTTTAAAAACTACTAAGGGTTTAAACAGTTTTAGAATTAAACTTTCCACTCTTTCCTTCTCTCTTTTATTTCCCTACACTTGATTATCTTGTCCCTTTCTAACTTACCTGCTTGGAAAGAATCCACATACCTCCTCTATCTTAAATCTATAGCCATAAGGATTACCTTCTCTGCTGGCAGCTCTGAGTTCATCAGATTAAATTGTCCTCCTGCTGAGGGAATATCTTTTGAGAAAGTATTTCTCAAATACTTCTCATGATGCACTTTTCAGCCCTCAGGGAGAACAGAGGATATCTCTCAGTCTTATCTGGCATGGGCCATCTATCTTACCCCCACCAAACTCTTCACTCACAGATTAATAAAAGTATGTAAACTGAAGGGAGAGGCACGGCTGAGGAGGAAAGGTGAGTGAGATTGCCTCAGCTTTCAGAGGTATTAGTCTCCCAACCTGTCATTTTTCTTTGTGAGGTAGGTCAGGTGGGAAATCTGGGGAGATAGCCCTGGTTGTAACATTGCTATGATGACTGCTCCAGATAGAGCCATTTCTACTCCTGTTTTTGTTTTTTTTTTTTCCCTGAGTAAAACAAAATCAAATGATCATATTTACCTTAAACTCAGCCAGGCTTCTTGTGGGCTTACCCAAAGATTTGTAGAGACTCTTTCTCATGTCGTCACAGATGTCTTCCTGCCTGACCTGTCACACATCTTTAGCAAGGACTTTTCTTGTTATGTTACGTTTTGTTAAATAATAAAGTTGAGGGAAGAAAAGAGCAAACAGTTCACCGTGAACTAGGAATCTGGTGGGTTGGAGCAGTTCCTTACAAGTAAGAAACTTTCTCAAAGTGGACACTGAAATTTTGCATACCTATCTGCTGGAAATGGCCCATGAGTCCCTGTGCCATTGCAACCAACATTCTAGAGGCTCTTTCCCACAGACTCAATGAAATGCCTCATTATCACTATGCATCAAAGCTGTTTTCACCATCTTGACCTTTGTTTTTCATTCTGGTGAGTAAATTTTCTAGTCCTTGGTGGAACACTTCACATGTCCTTGAAATGCAGTTAACCTCCTGCTGTAACTTAGGAAGAGTGGCTGTTATATTAGATTTCTTTCAAATGTTTCATCAGTGGATTATTTTTCCCTCATTAGAGAAATGGACTCAGAATGATGATTTAGAATGAATAGTATAAATTAGTTATTTCATCCTTGCTAAACTAAAGGAGGTTGACTAAATAAATGTTTTTCTGTTATTGTTCTAGGGAGATTAGATTTTGTGGAAGTTAAATTTGAAGTGCAGGGAAGGAATAATCTCTTCTTGATCTAATATTCCTTGCCAATCTAATGTTTGGGAAAAATTTGCTGCACACTTGGCAGTTTGAGGGAAGGATATTGTGTATATAAAAGTTTGATTCTTTTACTGTCTGCATGGATGTTTTTCACTTTCCCGTGGTTCCAGAAACTGTCTCTTCCTCATAGTTGAGTTCTGAGATATCACTGTTGATAATATCAATGCCAGTATATTTGCTTTTGCTGATCTGTGGAGGCCAGTGAACCCTGCTTACCCCTACTTCAGTGAAGCTGTGTCCCATTTCTCTCTTAATTTTTATCTGGCTTTGTATGGGTCAATTTATAAATTTTATTTTCCAATTTTTGTTTCTGGGATACAGAAAAACAATTAATTTTGGTATATTGATCTTATATCCTGTTACCATAATGCATTTTTTTTTAATTCTAGCAATTGTCTTTTTTAATGGACGTTTTTTAGGAGATTTTACATATATCACCTAGCCATCTGCTAATACAGGTAATATATTATTTTTCTTATTCAACCTTGCACACTCTTATATTTCTTTCCTAATTTAACTAACTGGGTTCTCCTCGTGTTATGGAAAAAGCAATCAAGATTTATGTAATAATTGTGATGTTAGCTATAGGTGATTATATTTCTTATCATATTTAGTCTATTGCTACTTATAGCTGTCAAGATTCTTTTAGTCTGTTCTTCCTCGCTGCAGCCGCCCCCTTCTACGTGATTGCACTGAGCTACTAGTGTCCGGTCCTGGAATCCAGCTGCTGCCTCCTCAGCTGCGTTGTCTGCCTCCTGACCATGGACCCCCACAAAGTGAACGAGTTTCGGGCCTTTGTGAAATTGTGTAAGGAGGACCCGAGTATTCTGCGCACCGAGGACAGGTGCTTCTTGAGAAAGTGGGTGGAGAGCATGGGAGGTAAAGTACCACCTGATGCTCAGAAAACTAAAGAAGAAAACACCAAGGAAGAAAGTACAGATAGTACGAAGGCAGAAGAAAACATAAAGACAGAGGAACCATCAAATGAGGAGAGTGATCTAGAAATTGATAAAGAAGGTGTGATTGAACCAGACACTGATGCTCCTCAAGAAATGGGAGATGAAAATGCAGAGATAACTGAGGAGATGATGGATCAGGCAAATGATAAGAAAGTGGCTGCCACTGATGCCCTAAATGATGATGAGCTACAGAAAGCCATCAACTTGTTCACAGATGCCATCAAGCTGGATCCTCGGTTGGCCATTTTGTATGCCAAGAGAGCCAGTGTCTTCATCAAATTACAGAAGCCAAATGCTGCCATCCGAGGCTGTGACAGAGCCATTGAAATAAATCCTGATTCAACTCAGCCTTACAAGTGGAGAGGGAAAGCATACAGACTTCTGGGCCTTTGGGAAGAAGCAGCCCATGATCTTGCCCTTGCCTGTAAACTGGATTTTGATGATGATGTTTGTGCTATGCTGAAGGAATTTCAACCTAGGGCCCAGAAAATTGCAGAACATCAGAGAAAGTATGAGAGAAAACGTGAAGAGCGGGAGATCAAAGAAAGAACAGAAAGGGTTAAGAAGGCTCGAGAAGAACATGAGAAAGCCCAGAGGGAGGAAGAAGCCAGATGACAATCAGGAGCTCAGTATGGCTCTTTTCCAGGTGGCTTTCCTGGAGGAATGCCTGGTAATTTTCCTGGAGGAATGCCTGGAATGGCAGGAGGCATGCCT